AGGAAATAATTTCTCTTGGTGAGACAATTGTGTAAACTCGAATCGAGAAAATAAAACTTCTCCACAACGAAGAAAAAAATACAAAAAATACACACAAAGGCTTTACATTTATTATGATAATATTTTAGAATGGATCAAAACAATTTTACCTTATATATTTAAAGCTGTCACTATGGGATCGATGTGCGAATGATGATAACAAATTATTGCTGATGCTGATTTATTTCTGAAACTCACAATTGCGTGTATCGCAACAGGTAAAATGAGCAGAACGCTATGGTAAGATGAGATCCTGATTGAAAGCTCGTTAGAAATTTACTCACAGTAAATCATGGATTACGAGGCTTGAGGTAAATATAATTTGGAGGCTCTTAAGCGGTAATCGTCCTAAGCAGACAAGTTTTCTCATTGCCAGCTAACCGGACGCTAATCCGGCGGTAATTGGATAGCACTCCGTTATTGCTTGAACTTAATCAGCTCCTAAGCACAGAAATGCAATTAAAAAAATAAGACTTTTGTATCAGTCAATCGTAACATGGTACATTTGTAAGTTTATTTATATAAATTAAATTTAATGATAAACATTTTGCAAATATTTTAATCTATAATTATATAACACAAAATAATATTATTAAATATCAAAGCCCTGTATATAATAACTATATATTTTTATATATTAATATAATATAAGAAAATGTTTTTATTTATTTTAAGTAAATTTTTTTACAAATGGTTTTATTTCTATTATAGTTATAAATATATTGAGAAAATGTATTATAACTAGCAACCTCTCAAATCTTTTTTAAGTAAAATTTTGTTTTATGGAAATAATAGAAGTTTTATTAAAAATATATCAGTCAAATAAAAATAAAATATAAAAATTGTGGCCTTTTAATAATAAATAATTTTATAAGTTATAATTAAACAAAAACTGAAATTATATGAAGTATGTAATACTATTAAATAATAATAAATTGTTAGAAAAATCTGCCGTAGTTTTATAGGACAGTAATATTACTGTTCTATATTGCAGATTGCAATTTTATATATATATTAAAATTAAATATTTTAAATATATTGCTGTTAATATTTTGCTTTTAATACATAGTTGTCAAAAATTTATATTTTATAAAATAATTATATTTTTTTTCTCAAAGGATTCTCAAGAATAACTTAAAATTTAATCAAAACATTCCGAGAGCTAAAAGATCGCGATAAGTAAAGGCGAATATCTTGTATATTGTTTGCGGCTTACGAGAGTGTGTATAAATTTAGCGTACAGAAGTGGAAGCTTTATCTTACTATAAAGAGACGTAATCAGTCGAATCATATTTTCTTCTCTAAATATGAAAGGATTTACATTATGTCAATCAATTTTATAAATTGTTCAATCAGCTTGAAATAATTATACAAATTTTAATATGTAATAATTATACAAATTTTAATATATTTTAATATTAATATTAAAAAGTAATTTAACAATAAAAAACTTATTATTTGATAACTATTATACATATATACAAATCTGGATAATATCTTCATTTCTTTTATAAAAGAAATTTAAATTTCTTGAGTCGGGATTGCACAATCATGCATCTGAAAAGATCGGAAGAGCTATAATAATGAGGTTCATAGAATTGCTTTGTGGTACTTAAGAAAGACATTGTAATTGTAAATTGCTCCCCGATCTTCAATGACGTGTTTTCCGAGTTTACGATCTTAGAGCAAAAGAAAACTGTGAAAACTGGACCAACAACGCACACAATTTACATTGTTTAAAAATATTACTATCCATCATTGAATAAATTTGTGCTATTTAAATAAAATCAGAACAATGTGGAAAAGAAATAAATTTGTAATAATGGAAACAATAATGATTGTAATCTTTTATTGTGTTAGAACTATAATATTAAATTAGGACTGCATTACTCGTAATTATATTACAATATGCATAAAATACATGATTGAATGTAATAAAAATGTATTGTATTAAACAATATAACAATAATTTTTATTTGAATAATACATTCTTATAATAAATTGCATAAATACAAATCGTTTATACTAAATTGTCAAGTAATTTGTTTGCTTTATTTAAAAAGTTATCTTACACTTCTAACTTAATAAATAATATTAAATATTAAATGGTATAAATTATAATAAATCTATAGGTATTGTACGTAGATCGCTAAATTTTAAAACTTACAAATTGGAATTAAATATTAATTGTAATAAAATATACGAGGGAAAATAATTAATGTATTATTATATCAATTAAAATGTATTTTTTGAAAAAGATAAAAACAGCAAAATTTAAATTATTTGTCTAATGAAAAATTAATATTTGTTATAAGTAATTTGTAGAATTCAGATATAAATTTAAAAAAACATAATAACTTTTTTGTTAATTTTATCTATTAATTTTATTAATTTTAACGCATATATCTATATTAATATATAAAAGCAAAATCGATTGAGTTCTCGGTCAATTGTTTTATTAATTCAATTAATTTTGCACTTGTATCAAAGTAGATCGAGAAGGGAGACATCAGTCTTCTAAGAGAACGTATCTATATATGGGTTGCTTGGCAGTAAATAGATTTGTAAGCATGAATGGAATTTAGATCTTCTTCGATGGAACAGCAGTTAATTGAGCGCCTTACGATCCTTCGTCCCATAATCGAGGCGAGAGCGCGACTATTAAGTTACCAGATTTAATTTACTATATCTTGTCTATGTGTAGCTGTAGTTTATCTCATGTTAATCTGTCCGGAATTGCCCTTTCTACGGCTGCGTAGGCACTCATGAAGCTCGCCGGAAGTCAAGGTCGCAACATTAAATGCTCAATATAACGATAGTGACATTTTGAAATCTGAGGGATAAATATACGATTGAATATGTTAATAAAATAATGTTTTATAATATTAATAATGGTTTCTCAGATAATTTAATTCGGATAATCCAAAAAATATATTGTTTAAATTCTTTATTTCGGAATCACACATAGCTTAAATTTAATATAGCATAGTTGTTTGTTCTTTAATGAAATGAGATTTTTATTGGACGATATGTAATTCTTGAGAATAATATTGATAATTCTCTTGAGAAATATTTTATGGTAATAGACAAAAACATACAAGATAATATAAAACAAGAATATGCTTTTTTAAGTTTAATGTCGATCTATATTGACGCGTGACGAATCGGATATATGTGTCTCCTGGGAGCTATTCTGTAGATTTATGTAGCGTCGAGAGAGAGAGAGAGAGAGAGATGAATATTCTATAAAATCACGTATGAAGACGTATATAAATATGTGGCACAAGGGAGAACAAATAGGAGTAAAACACAGATAGGTCGGAAAAAATGACATGTTTAGTGTGTCTTTATTTTTAGCTTTTAATCTCTTGATTTCCTCATATGTCTCTATTTTCTGGTAATAATTAAACAAGAAGAATATATTTGTTTTTATTCTATGTATATATTGTATAATATTTCATATTTATAGTATCGAATTATACAAAATTATGTTAAAAAGGGAAACTGAGAATAATTTTCAAAGTTGTTAAATCAAAAGATCAATTTATCATTGTTTATGCTTTTATACCCTTTATTCTGCTTTTGTGATTTATAATTTATTTATGTTTTGTCATTTGATAAATTATACAAAATGTCAAAGTAATCAATAAAGAAACACTGAGAGTAAAAAGAAAATTACAAAAGATTTTTATTGATAAGAATATGTTTGATAAATTACTGTTTCTAAAAAATGCTTTATAAATTATTTTTGTTTGTTTTTAAAATATATATAAATATATATTAATATTATATTTAAATTACAAAATTGCAAT